CAGAGCATATCGCTCCCCATCCTCGGAGAGACGCGTCGGTGCCGAGAGTTATCATAGGAGGTCGCGCCCGGAAGGGGACTCCCATCACTAGATTGGTCGGCTTCAGCCACCAGGACAGGGAGTGGAGCACGGAAGACGGGATCCGAATCAGTTTCGATTGTGGGTCCCTTTGAGGATGATACACCTTGTTGAACAATAGTTGTAAGGGGCGAAGCCGAAGTCTGGCATGTGGAACTACGGCAACTGAGGAGGCCATATGCCCCAGGACCCTCTGGATGGATCTCGCCGTAACCGTTCCCTGTCGACGGATTCGATGAATATGGTGAGCGAGGGTCTGCTGTCTGTCCCGAGGAAGGAAGGCTTTCTCCAACGTCGAATCCAAGTGGGCTCCAATGAAGGTGAGTGTCTGTGTCGGGAGAAGAGATTTCTCTATTAATACGGAGGCCCAGACTATCTAGTAAGGTACATGTTGAATGGATGGCATCCAAGAGTCCTTCTCTGGACTGCGAAACTAACAGCCAGTCATCGAGGTACGGGTAAATTTGTATACCCTGAAGGTGTAGGAAGGCACAGACAGGAGCCACGCATTTAGTAAAAGTTCTTGGAGCTGTAGCCAGTCCGAAAGGTATAACTTTAAACTCATAAAGTTGGTTTTCAACAGCAAAACGAAGGAAACGCCTGTAAGTTGGATGAATTGAAATATGAAAGTAGGCGTCCTTCAGGTCCAGTGAGGCGAACCAATCCCCTCTCCTTAACAACGGCAAAATGTTTTGAAGGGTGGTCATATGAAACTTTCTCTGAATAATAAACTTATTCAAGTCCCGTAAATCCAAAATCGGACGTAGACCACCGTCCCGCTTGGGGACCGTAAAGTATCTGGAATAGAACCCGTGGAGTCCGTCAGATGGGGATACTTGGCGAATTGCTCCTTTTTGGAGAAGTTGCTGTATTTCGTTGAGAAGTACTGGCGAACATGAAGTAACCCGGATCGGACTCGATGGGGGAACGATGTCGAATTCTATTCGACAGCCGTGTTGAACAATGGATAATACCCACCGGTCAGATGTGATGGACTCCCAAATGGGAAGTCGGCTCCGGAGCCGATCCCCAGATGAGAGAGGGGTGGGTATTTGAGGAGTGTGAGGAGTGGTTCGCCAATCACGTCAGCACTGCCTCCAATCGTCGAATCGGCGACGGCCCTGCTGGTATCTTTGTTGAGGTTGCTGACGGCGGCGTTGCTGTTGCTGCCGATGTTGAAGCTGTTGCCTGGGGTAATACTGCTGTCTGTAGGGCGGACGGTTCCATGGCCACTTACGTTTGGGCAGCGACTGAAGCTCCATTCGTCGGGCCGTCATCCGAGACTCATGGAGTTTCTTGAGCTTATGGTCCATCTTAGCGTGGAATAGCCCGGACCCATTGAAGGGCATTTCTTTGATGCACCGTTTGGTCTCCTCAGGGAAATTGGCGCTCTGTAGCCACGCATGTCTCCAAAGCGAGACAGCACCAACCAGTGCCCTCGAATTGGTGTCCACATGGTGCCTGGCTGTGGACAATTGTTGCACCACCACGTGCATCACCTCTTTGATGAGGATCTTGGCCAATTCGCCCTGTTGATCCGGGAGGGCCGAGACGACGTTGTTGAGACGCTGCATTATGAAATACTGGTATCTCGCCAACATCGCCTCGTAATTAGAGATACGCAATCCCAAGCCTGAGGCTGCGTAAACCCTCCTGGCCAGTGCATCTATCTTACGGCCCTCCTTGTCTCTCGGCGCGGTATGACCCCTTGCCTCCCTTCCTTGGGAGGACTCCACCACGACTGAGTTCGGCTTGGGGTGTCGGAGGAGGAATGGAATGTCCTCCTCCCGAACCCGGTACATGGCTTCATACCTCCGGGATGTAGGTTGAGGATGGGATGGCAAGTCCCAGGGTTGGGTCATCGCCTGCCGCAAGGTGGTAATCAGTGGCAGGACGATGGAGGTGGACTGCTCCCCGCGGACGACGTCGTATATTTTGTCCGTAGACGGCCCTGGCCGTTGGACGGCGTCGATGTCCAAAGATTGGACGAGCCTGCCCATTAGCTCCGCAAAGGACACATGTGACTCGTCTGGTGATGCGGGGCCCTGGGAGGTAACCGCGGCATCAGGAGAGGTCAAATCCAAATCGGAGTCGACAGAATCCACGCCGTAATAAGGAGGAGCCGAAGAGGAAGACTCTGCTGGCGAGAAGGAGCGACTGCTATCATCCCGTGGTACTGGGGATGAGCGCCTTGGATCTGGATGGGGCGGGCGGTCACGAAGGTGGAATTGTGGTTGATCCCTTGAAGCGGGATAGAATCCGGTCGAGTATGGCTTGTCCCAAGGTGGATAATAGGGACGACGCCAGTCCTCGACCCTCTCGGAGCGCAGCTCCCTAGAATGGCTTCTGCGGGTCCTAGGTGGGGTGTCAACCACATCCGCCTCCAGCGTAGCCGTGGGCATAGGGGTTGGTGACCTAGCCCTGGGAGGAGAGTCCTGGATCTCTCCATCCGAGATCGAACCCCGTTGGACAGCTGGCGGCAGTTCAACCAGGGGATCAGCCACACGGTGAGGAGACCCTTGAGGGGTGACCCTCATGGCTGCCTGGATCGCCGGCTCGGGTGGCGTCGGCATGGTAGGAGGTGCCGGTACCGACGCTACTGTTGAACCCGAGGTACGGTGTCGGGGTCGATCCGGATCCTTAGCCTTCGGGGTCGACTTAGAAGGCTTCTCCTTCCTGGCCTTTTTGGCAGGTTTTACAGCCTCGGCATGCTTGCGCTTCTCCCTTTTTTTCTTAGGGGAAGCTGGTGGGGCCCTCAAAGCAGAGGCACCTTCATCTGATGGAAGGGAGGGCGGTACCACCGCAGCCGGGCAAGGCTTCTGAACAGTGACCAATGGGTCGGACTGCATAAGAGTCCAATCCCACAGGAGTCTCCGGAGGCGGTTCTCCCAGTTTTTTCTGGCCTGTTTGGAGAAGGCCAGACAGTGGGAGCACCTGTCAGTCCTATGCCCCTCCCCCAAACAGAGGAGGCATAGATCGTGTGGGTCGGATGGAGACATTTTCGATCCGCACTCCGCACACTTGCAGAAGGCCGTTTGCTGCACCATCGCAAGAAGAAGAAGAAAAAGGAAGACAGTGCAGAGGGTAAGAATATATTTTTGTTTTTGTTTTTGTTTTAGAAGGAGAAATGGAACACTAGAACGATAGAAGAAGAAACTAGAAGTAACGAGTTTTAGGGATATAAAAACTGGGAATGAAAAGAAGACAATAGCTTCGAGGAAACGGTCAAGCGAAAGACGAAAGCGGCACGAGGCACAGGGAACGGCGGTCGCAAAGACTGAACAAATGGCGGACACTCCGCTCTTTACAGCCCATGGGGGAGGGGAGAGGAGCTTCCCGCCAAAAACCGTTAGCTTTCAATCTTCCGGCCAAAGGCACTGCGCAGGCGCAGAACCCATATGTGTGATGCACAGAGGCCACGACGAAGAATCACAGTTTACAAAGAAGTTTCTTCCTAGCCCAGAGGGCTCTCTGTGCCCTGGCCATTCAAAAGGGTGTGGATGCATTACTTAGGGTCTGAGTCTGGATGAGCTTATCATGAATAGTTTCTCAGTAGCTTGAATTTACATGTCTAAGCAGACCTGGAGATGGGTTCAGGTTACTCAACTAAAGTGTCAATACATTGCAATTAGAAATATTGTAATCTTATTGTCACTGTATGATTGACTGACATTCCTTTATCTGTTCTGTATGTGATGACCTCAGAATCTTATTGTAATGCCTGCATTCTGTCACCAATTGCCCTGTAGCTGTGTACATGGCCAGGAGGGTATAAAATACCCTGTAGTTGTATTGAAACCTTGCAGCGAGTTTACTTCTGCCTGCCCGGTAATGCATTATCGTGAGTCTACCATGGGAACCTGGGTCATACAATAAAGCCAAGATGGTCTGGACGCTTGATCTTTCCCACGAACCCGAGTTTTATTTCCTCCTCACAAATTGAAATTCCGGGATTTTCTGACACATGTCACTGAGAAGAAACCATGGTAAGCCCATTAAAACAGAAACAAGCAAAACACTTTTAAAAGGAGTTGGAGTTTGATGGTGTCAAAATGCTGGCTACTTTTAAAGGATGGCTCCCGCTTTTTCACATTCTTTCACATTCACATCTAGACTCTAAGGGACAAGTGGAAAAGTGAAAGCACGTTTAAGCACCCTTAAGACACCCTTAAGCACCCCGCCCCAAGAAAAACAAAAACAGAATCTGGGAGCAAGGGGGTATAGATCTCACCATCCCCTTTTCATGACTTGTGTCTTTGGTTTGGCTTGACAGCCTTTTGACAGTTGTCAAACCCAACCTGATCGCAGAAAAGGAGCTACTAGGAGCTTCTCTAACTCAATGTTGCACTTTGGTTGTAGGTACCTTCCTAGGCATTGCCCAGAGGAGACTGCCCATTTTCACACACTTGTCTTAAATACACAGGTGTACACTTGCAAGAGAGTACAAAGTATATTTTTAATAACTATGTATACATTTATCTGCATGCTTTTGGAGATCCTGAACATGAACAAAAAAACTAGTTAGCAACCACTGCCAACCCCTCCAAGGTGTCACCTGGACTGTCAGTGGCTATAAAACAAGGATTATGAAAACCAGCTGCCAAAAGAATCACCTCAGCCAGTACCAGTCACCTCAAATTGTTGTGAATGACAAAGGGATTTTACTGCTCTTACTAAGCTGCTCACCAGCTGTTTTCCAATACTCATGGTGGGGTCAATCAGCTGGGTTCAGATGACACAACAATCCATCATAGGTACAGCAAAGCCTAGTAAAACTCATGGGTCGTCTGGGTGGCTTGTTGCCCACAAATGAGCCACCTTGTAGGAAACAGTCTAAGCTTATGTAACACAACAAGCTTGTCACTTATAATAGGTTGCCCTGTTGTGTGAACACAGTCAACAGCAACGATAAATTTACTTACTTGATCTTAATTATAATCTCATTGATGTCAATGTGCTTCTTTTTCTCTCTTTTGTAATGATCCATAAAATGTGCATAATCTTCTGCCATAATCCGCTCATTGAGGCCAGTGTCAGGAGCCATATTTTCTACACCCATTTTTTGCAGAAATTCTTGATGAGTAAGGTAGCCTTTTGCATTGATATCATACCTTTGAAAACATCAAAGAAGATATATTTTCTTCAGTGATATACTAAGTTTTAAAAGTCCAAAGTAGCATGCTACTATCTCTTGAACATACTAAGCCTGATTCTTCTGTGGAGAAATGCACAGGGAAACACACTAGGAAATAAGTATACCACTGTAATGTCCCCATGTGCACCTGTCTTTTGTGGGAAAAATCTGTCAAATCTCTTGCAAGTGGATATTTACAATAAAAAAATCTATGCAACTAGGAAGAACAGAAGAACTACCTTGCTGGATGAGATCAAGGCTCATTAAATGGAGCATTCTGTTTCCACCAGTGACCAGTGATCTCTGGAACATCACAGAGTATAGAGGTGATGCCCACGACTAATAGCCATTGATAGATCTGTTCTCTGTGATTTGCCCAATTATTTTTAAAGCCATCTAAGCTAGTGTGTATCCACCAAATTTGTATTCTGATGTTATATTTTCATTTGTACTCAAAGTTATCCAGGTACTACACATATGTTGGAACTAGGTGGCTAGCCCAATGAAGAGAACTTCCTATGCATCATCCTGCTGAATCTACTCACACTTAGATTCCACACACACCAATGAGCCAACTTTCCCCCACAATGTTTTATGTGTCCTAAAGTCATTTGAATACCCAGATCAATATCGACTGCGCCCCGGCAGTCGACGCTGGAGAGGAACTACTGTGCGCCACCAGCCTACGCCGCGAAGACCGCGCCACGCCGCTCCGCCATTCCATCACCCACCTGGCTGCTCTGCCATGCCCCTGCACGCGTTGGAGGCGTGCCGGACGAGGCGGGGTGTCGGGAGCCCAGCGGCTTGAAAGCGCCGGCGGCTGCTGGGGCCGGCGGCTGAAGGGCGTCAGCCAAAGGGCGGTCGCCGCCATTTTGGGGGGGCCGAGCGGGGAGGCCAAGCGGGGGGCTGGGCTGGCCAGGGGGCTTTCACTTTCGCTGTGTTAGGCCCTCCTGCTGAGTGGTGAATTTTTTAAATGTTTTTATAATTTTATAGTGTTTTATATTGTTTTATGGAGTCGTCCCTGGCCATGCTGCCGCTTGCATTTCCTGGGGAGCGCACCGGCGCCGCCATTGGGGTGGTTATTGGCAATGGACGTAACAGCGGTGGGAGCTTAACGTGCCCGCATAGAAGAAGGAGGGACAGATGGCTGACACCTGTCCCTACTTCTGGTTTTGCTCCCAGCCAGAGGGTGCCAGGGAGTCTTGTCAGTCGCCCCTCGGGCCTGACGGTGCTGTTGCTTAATGCCAGGTCGGTCAATAACAAATCTGCCCTCATCCA